ACCCCTGCGTTCTCTGCGAGGCCGGCGGGCCCGGGGCCTGCGTCAGGGGGCTGAGCGCGCAGGGGCCGGGATGAAAGCCCTTTCTGTGCAAGAGGGCTGTCCAGGCTTCCGCTTCCCCAGCTGAACCCCGACCAGAAGGCATGTATATACGTGCTTATATGTATGTGTGTGTGTGTATATTTACTCACAGTGTCTATAGATAACGAATGACGTGTGTTTTCTGTATGTCTATTTGGGGAGGTATTTGCAACCAAACTTTAAATTAATGCAGCTGCGACAAATTAACATTTTATTTCTTAAGGAAGTTACTTAACATTCAATTCCACATAAAATGCAGAAAGGATCTGGAATTTTCCTGCATGTGAGGGAAAGTTTTAATGCCAATATTACATCCTAGTCGTGACTGATTTTCATCCTATCTAATCTGGCTAGATTTTCAACCAGGTTTGAAGGAAAAAAGAAAATTAAGTGTTATTTTGCATTATCCTAAGTATTCTGTTCACGATGCTTCATACTTTGAATATGACACTTAGTAACATTTTTTACATGACTACTAAGCCTGGCGTTGACGATATCTAATCCTCAGTTGAAAAGTAAGCATTAATATATGACTTCACATGCTAATAATTGACGATCAGAGAAGTTAAGAGCTTTGCTAATGTCACACGGTGAGAAAGTTGAGCCGCAAGTTTAAGAATTAGTGATCTTTCCACTAGAACACTCTGCTTTTTTTTTTTGTTTCTGATTGAGTAATATATGGTCTACATAAGATACATCTGGAAAACAACACATAATTTTTTCTTTCATTGAGTTGAAGTCTCACTCTGTCATCCAGTCTGGAGTGCAGTGGCGCAATCATGGCTACTGCAGCCTCTTCCTGTGGAGCTTAGGCAATCCTTTCTCTTCAGCCTTCCAAGTAGCTGGAACTACAGGTGTGGGCCACCATGCCTGGCTTATTTTTTGATTTATTGTAGAAACAAGGTCTTGCCACATTGCCCAGGCTGGCCTCGAACCCCTGGACTCAGGCAAGCCTCTTGCCTCCACCTCCCAAAGTACTGGATGTGAGTACAGACGTGAGTCACTAGTTCTAGCCTCAACCTATTATTATATTGTAGGGACCATTTCTTTAACTCATTCCCCAAGAACTGCATCCTTGGTGGTGAAAAAGTTATTAGATAAAGTAATTGGAAAAAGTAGAACATATCAAATGCATCAATAACTTAATGCATTAATCCTATCAACTACTCTCTATGTCCAGGGCAATGTGCTGTGCTAGGAGATAATACATGGACAAGGATTTGCTTCCTTCTAAAGTATGTTCCATAAAAGATATGTGACAGTAAGCAACACATTCCAATACGACACGACCAATGCACCGACAGAGGGTCTGAGATCATCGAGGAAAGAGATATATCCCTCACCCTACAATGAGTGGTGAAATCCTCCATCAAACCGAGTGGCAGCTGGGACTTGAAGAACAGACGGGAGTTTGACGTGGAGAAGGACCATGGGTGTAAGTTTCAGTGTAAACGAAGACCGTGATTATTGCACACGATGACTTCACAGTGCCATGAATGCAGATCACATGGCAAAGGTAAACCTCAAGTAAAAATCCAGTAAGTTTAATGCTTTCAGTAAGTAACTAGGCAATTTGAAAGGAAAAATTATAAATGTACTGCATGGTGTTACATTACAAATATTAAAGTATATATTTTACTTATAATTATCATTATTTCTTGTTTTATTAAGTATAAAAGGGTCCAAATTTGTTATCTGAATAGACAAAGAGACAAAGATTTATTAGAAAATGTATTGAGATTTAAATTTATGAATATCTTCAAGACTGTTCTTTACAAACAGTTAACGATATCCTCTTAAAATGTAACATATATGGAAGACTCTAAGACCTGAATGCTCTAGTACTAAAAAAAATAATAAAAAGAAGAAAACCATGTTACTTGTAGGATACAAGACACTGCCTGGGCTATCATTTTGGGAAAAACTTACCAAGAGGTAGCATGTATGTGGTTATGAAGGTTAGACTCCCCCGCTGGTACTCAACGGGGGACCATTAACTCTCCTCAACTTCCCCAGGGGGGCATGTGGCCATGTCCAGAGAGATCTGTGGTCGCCACAGCTGGCAGGGGCTTGTTTCTGGCAAGTAGTGGATCGAAGACCTGTCCCAT